TGCATGCTCTCCTGTCCTCCCTATGTCCAAGTTCTCAGACAGTGTGATCCTCCATGCTCTGAGCTCCGTCTTGTCACTCCTTAATTCATTGAACATGTCCTCCGGAGCCTTCTTTTTCCACCTTCTAATCTGGGAAAGTTTCTGAACCAGTGTGGAGGATGCACCGACAGACAAGGTTTCAGCTGCAAGGATTGCAAAGCATAAGGGTAGCATTGACAGTGCATACATTGTTTCTGGTGCGAGGTTAATTTTTTAAATAAAAAATGCACCCCTCAATACACTTCACCGAGCCACAACGTAATCCCAACCACTGGCTATTGCAAGACTCAGTTTGCTGCTCCAGCCATGGTGAGTAAGACCACGAGTTGTGCTGTTGCTTTTGTGAAGACATCCTTGGGATCACAGGTTGGAACTTGAGAAAAGCCCCTTTCCCCTAGCAACCTGGATGGTGCTTGAGGACAGGCACCAGGATAAAGACCCCCCAAAAGTTTGTTTTTTAACAAAAGCAGCACCAGGGGGAGGGAGACAAACAGGAAGCGCGCCCCCCCCCCTTTTTTTTTCAGTGCTGCTTGCAATACTCGGTGATCCCTTCCAACCATAACCATTGCACATTTGGGAAAGTGTGTTTGTGTGACCCAGATTTCATCAAAGAGGGGGTAGGTTACTTGTTGAATTGTTTGCAGTTTAAGGGCTGGCATTGAAAACTTCCCCCATTTCCCCCAAGTGACCCTATGCAATATCACTCTCCTGAGGGTAACATAGGTGGCAAGGAAGCAGATGCTGCAATGCTGTGTGCTGCAATGATGCCAGCAGAGTTAATACTGAAGTGGCGTGGGAAAGTGTCCTATGTGGTGGACAAAATAAGGCAGCCCTTCCCAAAAACCTTCTGCAAATTATTGCAGAGTACCTCCATGAAAGCTTCCTAGAGATCTCCATGGAGGATTCCCGGGCCGTCCCTGTGCACATAAACACACAGGCACCCTCTGCGTAGCTGGAGTGGCCACCGATACCCACTACACCTACTTTTTTGTTCAGATTAAACATTAAAAATAACATTAAACATTAATATTAAACATTAAAAATAATAGAATGTAACCCCTAGAGTTTGATTGGAAATGTGTACTCACCAGAGGTGCCTTCCCCGGCATCATGCTCCGACGCCAACTGGTCCTGCGAAGTAATGGGCTTCAGGGTTAAAAACAGTTCTTGACTGTTGGGGAGAATGGATTCTCCACTTGCCTGCCTCACATGCTCTTCCTCCTCCTCTTTCTCATCAACAATGTCCTCCTCATCGTTGCTTGAGGTTGCCCAGAGCTCCTCGGAGGTATACACAGAGCGTTTTGGGGTAGTGATGGGATCACCACCGAGAATTGCATGCAGCTCCTAATAAAAGCAGCATGTCTGTGGGGCAGAACCAGAACAACTTTTCGCCTCCCTTGTCTTCTGGTACACCTGCCGAAGCTCCTTTATTTTCACATGGCACTGCTGCGTGTCCCTGGTGTAGCCCTTCTCCCACAATCTTGGCATAGATGCCAACGTTTATTCTTCTGGATCGGAGCTCTGCCTGTACAGACTTTTCTCCCTACACAGCAATAAGATCCAGCACCTCCTGTACTCCATGCTGGAGCGCGTTTGCAGACTTGAGTCTCCATCATTAGCTATGCCGGAATGCTCTCCACACTGATCAACCAGGAAATGAAAATTCAAAAGTTCCAAGGGCTTTAACAGGGAAGCAGCTGTTTCCTGTGTAACTGGCTGATGTGCAATGCAGTTGAAAGTGCTCTGCATGCAGTCGCAGTGGAGCACTGTGGGGCACCTCCCTGGAGGCCAATTCATTTGAATTACGCAACAGAGTCTACACTATCTCCATTTCGACCCATGGATGCCGAATCAAGCGCTCCCCCTCTCGCGGAGGTGGAGTACAGAAGCCAACTTTCTAGGCCACTTAGGTCGGCAGAAGGGACTCGGTAGTGTAGACCCATACATTATTAGATCGACTTGATGTGTCTTATGTTGACTTAAGTTTGTAGTGTAGACCAGGCCTTAGAGACATTACATCCAGGGATTATATTTCTTCCTGGGGGTGGGGGAAAATTCATATATTTTGGTTGTGGGGCACAGCAGATATGGATTCAAAGCATCAAAATAAAACATGTGGATCTCTACTTATTAGTATCTCTGAGTGGAGAAAAATCTTGCCAGCTCCAGAACAAAAACAATAGATCAATTAAGTAGTCAGTATCCATGAAGGAGTCATGGATTCAGAAAAGAACAAACAACCATAAGAAAAGTAGTGTTGCACCTTTTGTTTTAAATGATATCAAGCCAGTTAGAAAGCCTCTTACCAGTCATCTGAAGAGCTATCTTAGTTCAAACACTGGCCTGTTAGAGAGGCTGATAAAAAGTGCAGAGCAGGTAGAGAGGATTTATGGTGATATCTGGAGCTGGGAGAGAAGGTAGATAGAGTGCTTTAAGCTGAAAGCAGGGTAGTGGAAGTAAAAGGGGCTCAGGGAGAGATTCCAAATATGGGGGAAAGACTGCTGAAAAAGAAAGACTTGTGGAATCAAGGCTGGGAGTTGAGACAGAGACACAGACCCCAGGAAGGGGTGGAAAGAAGGGGACCAAAAGTTAGCAGGAGACGAAAAGAAGGAATCAAAAACACTTGCGGGCAGAAAGACACCAAGAGGAAGACTGACCAAAGGCTTGGACATTCAGCTATTAGGAAGAGAGAAGGGTACTTCTAAGGGGTGGGGGTTAGGGAGAGACTTTTAGAAAAGGGACAAAATTGGGGAGATAAACAAATGCAGACCTACAGAATAGATCAGATACTCTGTGGAAGTGAAACACAGCAAAGGGGTTAGAGATGCTGAGCAAGATAGAAGTGGGATTCTGTGGCATAGTGAGGGTGAAAGAAAGTCTGGGGGAAAGAGAATGAGTGGGGAAGGGGGAGAAGAGAACCAAGGGGATATAACAAGGGGCTTATTCCTTGACCTATGGAGGAATGAAACAATAGGGAGGAGAGAAATGGGGATGGAGCCAAAAGCATTAGAACCAGGAGAAAGGAAGGGGATGGAGGGAGAGATTTAGATCCTGTCTACATTATGATAGTTACTGTGCTGGGCTGGACAGTTAAAATAATCTGGTCTTGCAGGGTAGATAGGAAAGATTTGTATTTAACCAATGGGGCTCATTCACCTCTCTCTTACACCAGTGTAAGTCCATTTACATCAGTGGTGTAATGGCTGTTTTACATCAATGTAAAGGGAGAGGAGAATAGTCTCATGTTTTCAAACTGCTACAATCCTGGCTGTCACTGTTGAATATTTCAGGAACATGATTTAACAGTTTGGTCCCACTTACAATGGTGTGATCAACCCATATGCTAATATTTTATATGCTGTATTTTACTACATGCATGTGATGAAGGAAAATGTGAAGGGGCTAGCTATGTGCCTGGACCACTCCCACAGCAAGATTAGAGTCAAAAACTTGAAGAATCCAAGAGACCTATATGTCAACTGGCTCATAGTAATGATAGCAGGTGATGCCCATCCCCTACTTAGGGTGACCAGATATCCCGATTTTATAGGGACAGTCCCAATTTTTGGACCTTTTTCTTATATAGGCTCCTATTACCCCCCACCACCTGTCCCAATTTTTCACACTTGCTGTCTGGTCATCCTACCCCTACTCTACATCTTAAATGCCAGTGAGCCAGAGGATGAACAAAGGGCTCCCAGCCCAAAGCAAGCTCTCCATACCTAAGCTTTTTAATATCCTCAAATTACCTCTCATTAAAAACAAAACCTTCTTCTCTCTGCTTTCCTGACTCGTACAAAGCACCCCTGATTATTTTTTTTTTGCTGCATCTGGCCCATTATGATGAATCATCATCATAATTCAGTGTGACTGAATGATGATAAACCATCAGGATTCAATCATACCAGCCTTTTTCTCCAAACATATAATCAAAATAATCACTTTTTTATGAGAGGCCGGTTACTCAGTTCACTTTGATATTTTTTCCTATTGGCGTTTATAAATTCAACTTTGCAAAAGTTCAGCCAGACACCTGCTGACTTGAGAAAGAAAGAGTCAGTTGAAGTGAACAAATTATATGTTTTATGTAAATCGACTCCAGAGGGTTATTTTTGTCTTGGACTTCCTGTTATTCTCTTTTATAACTAGTGTGGGTAACTATCCCCAATCACTAGTTAGTGATACAAGGCAGCAGGCTTCAGGGGGAAACCTGCTTACAATAGCTGAGCTTTCTAAAAAAAATATTTTTTGGATCTGTCCATCCTGCATGAGAAAAGAAATATATCTAGCACTGTGAAAAAAAATCAATTATATTATTGGGGGACCAGTAAGTAACAGGAACTGCTAGCATGTTGCTGCTGCTTTAAATATAGCACTGATCAAGCAGCAGCAAAATGCATGAACATATAATTAATACCTAAGGTAAAACTGTCATAGGGTAATACAAAGCTAAGCTACATTTTATCTTACATTATAAAAAATAACTGAAGATGAACCTGTGAGGCTGTGGTCTAAAATAAACTGGAGATTTACTTTTCCTTTCATTTGTTTTATTCTCTCCCTAAATTGCATAGATTATTTACACAGACAAATGCCTCTGAAAATAAAGTAAACACAGTAGTTGTACAGGAATGTAACAATGTAACTTTTTTTCCAAAGTGCAGTTATGCAGGAGTGCAAAACTATTGAAGTATTTAAGAATAGCACAGCATTTCCTCTTCTGCTGGCATGTATAATGTATTGTATGAGTGTACTATGGACAGACACATAAAGAAAACTAACATGTGATGTTCAATTTGAAATCTTGCTGCCTTGTTATTACTACAATCTTCCAGCTTTTGTTGACCTTTGTGTATAACTAATGATAAAGAAAATACTATGTTATATCTCTGTGAAACAGGAACTGGTAGCTTCACTCATTAAAATGTAGCTGCCTTACGAGAATAACATATTTTTCTTACCCATTTCAGACATCTCTGGCACAGTAACAATGTAAGGTCCATCTGTAAATTTTGGTGCATTATCATTGATGTCCTGCACTTTGATAATGAACTCTGATTCAGGCTCGAGTGGCTTGTTTGTCCGTCTGTCAATAGCCTGAGCATGCAGCACATAGTGTGTCTTCTGCTCTCGATCTAGGCTTTTGGTTGAATGGATGTCTCCGGTAGTGTCATCAATAATAAATATAGTTCCAGCCCCTTCTCCAGTAAGGATGTACTTGACTGATCCATCACCTTTGTCAGAATTGGAGTGTAGCTGAAAAATATACACAAACACACAATATCATGTAAAATAATATTTAATATAACATGTCATATAATGTGATGTAATGTATCTGTATGCTGTTAGTACTGGTCTAGAAATAATCCTACCTGGCTGCTGTAATGTTCTGTGCACAAGTTTACTTTGTCTGCTGTGGGTTACCTCATCATAACTGATCTGCAGGAGTTCCATAGGGATCTCCCTTCAGTCAGTGAACTTCTTCAACTCTGTCATGGTACCAGCAAGTACATGAAAACAATATTTCTATCAGTTGTCTTTTTTAAGGCTTGCATCAAACTGAGTCAGCACTGCTGGTGCAATGCCTTGAGCACTGTGTCTGAAACATCTATACTGATGAGCTAAGGCAATCTGATTAAGTTTTACTTCGTTGATTATGGTTCAGATCCCACCACCCATAAATCATCCCATATGGCCCAATGGCCAATAACATTTGTAATAACTGGAAGCTGGGGATAGCAGCTGAGTGACAGATGCTTCCCCAGCCTTATTTTACCTCCACCTAAAACATAACTACTTTTTCACTTTCTTCTATAGGAAATCTGCTGACCCCTGTATTATCCATTATGAAGTAATGGAGTTTGAAAAGTGCAAGGTCATGCATTTAGGGATTAATAACAAGAATTGTTGTTATAAACTGGTGAGGCATCACTTGGAAGTAATAGATGAGGAGAAGGACCTCAGAGTATTGGTTGATCACAGGATGATTATGAGCCGCCAATGTGATATGGCTATGAAAAAAGCTAATGCAGTCTTGGGATGCATCAGGCGAGGTATTTCCAATAGAGATAAGGAGGTGTTATACAAGGCACTGGTGATACCTCATCTGGAATATTGTGTGCAGTTCTGGTCTCCCATGTTTAAGAAGGATGAATTCAAACTGGAACAGGTACAGAGAGGGGCTACTAGGATGATCCGAGAAATGGAAAACCTGTATTATGAAAGGAGACTCAAAGAGCTTGGCTTGTTTAGCTTAACCAAAAGACAGCTGATGGGCGATCTGATTGCTCTCTATAAATATATCAGAGGCATAAATACCAGGGAGGGAGAGGAATTATTTAAGCTCAGTACCAATGTGAACACAAGAACAAATGGATATAAACTGGCCATCAGGAAGTTTAGACTTGAAATTAGACGAAGGTTTCTAACCATCCGAGGAGTGAAGTTCTGGATAGCCTTCCAAGGGGAGCAGTGGAGGCAAAAGACGTATCTGGCTTCAAGACTAAGCTTGGTAAGTTTATGGAAGGGATGGTATGATGGGATAGCCTAATTTTGGCAATTAATTGATCTTTGACTATTAGCGGTAACGGTCTGTGATGGGACACTAGATAGGGTGGGATCTGAGTTACTACCGAGAATTCTTTCCTGGGTGTCTGTCTGGTGAGTCTTGCCCATATGATCGGGGTTTAGCTGATCACCATATTTGGGGTCGGGAAGGAATTTTCCTCCAGGGCAGATTGGCAAAATCCTGGGGATTTTTCACCTTCCTCTGCAGCGTGGGGCATGGGTCACTTGCTGGAGGATTCTCTGCACCTTGAAGTCATTAAACCACAAGTTGAGGACTTCAATAGCTCAGACATAGGTCAGGGGTTTGTTGCAGGAGTCGGTGGGTAAGATTCTGTGGCCTGCATTGTGCAGGAGGTCAGACTAGAAGATCATAATGGTCCCTTCTGACCTTAAAGTCCATGAGTCTATGAATGGCCTAGTATCTTAACTACTGCTAGCATATCTATTTAAAATATGTAATTATTCCATCCTTTGAATAGGACAAAAAACAACCCAAAAACCTCCTGGTAATCTTAAATAAATACCAAATTGTATTAAAAGTGAAGGCTAAAAAGCTATTTATCCAGGTTTGCCACTACTAAATTAATAAAAAGGGAGCCTAAAAATCCGTTTGCCACAGAAAAACCATGGAAAAATGCAGAATTTGAGCTTTTACAGGAAAAATCTTTAGTTTTTTCATTTTGTATAAAGATAAAAACCAGTTGCTTCACTCATTGAAAGTTAGCTGCCTTATGAGAATAACATTTTCCTTACCCATTTCAGACATCTCTGAACTAATACCTATACATATTATGGCTAGGGAAACCAAAGTTCAGCGTTTCATTTAATCACAAAAAAAAGTAGATTTTTAGGTTTCTTTTAATTGGAGAACTTTGTTTTTTTTAACCATGGAAAACTAGGATCCCTGCTTATAATTACCTAACTGGTTATCTACATTAAAAACAAATCTGTGTTCTCTGGCAGGAGGGAATCATTATTTGATAGATTGAAAGGTTTTTATTAATATCAACTTCGTGAGAGTGAATTTTGTATAATGTACAGTGCTGACCAAAGTAAGAATACAGCTATCAACATCTGTCCCAATCCTCCAATGGCATTAAATTGGAGAACAGACTTTCTGATTTTAAGTACTGACTCATTCTCATACTCACTGCATTTCCTTGAATAGCACAAATTGTGTTCTTCTAGCATGTGTTAGCACTAAATATCTGTCATTACTAACTTTCTTTGCAGAATCTGAGTAAAATGTGTAGAGAATACCAACAAATGTTATTAATTCAATTAACACAACACAAGGTGTTGCTTTCCAGTTGCCTCTCCAATTTGTGCCTCTCCATTACTGTACAATTTCCTTTCAAACCTCATTTTACAAACCATTTTAGGACATAGAGTATAATGTAAAATGAGATCGTTAAGGGAGATTGTAAACTTCTCATTTATGCTGTGTCAAGTCAGAAGCTGCAGATACACAGACACTTCCTTATCACCCCTTCTACTTACTTCCTTCTTTGGAAACTCTGTTTTGTATTTGAAAGGCATTTGAGGTTGTGATTTATAAAGGTAAAAGACATATGTAGTCACTTGATGTTTTTCATTGAGGTTCTATCAGCTATGCATGGTTGATGTTGCACATAATTTATACTGTGTTCTGTATGTATTTACATTGCTGGGGAAAGTCTAATAAAATTAATGGCCAGATTCTCAGCTGATATAAATCAGCATAGCTCCACTGTAGCCAGTGTACCTACACAGATTGAAGCTAGTGGATGACCTGGCCTAACAATTAAGATCAAATCAAAAAGTTATAAAATTCCATAACTCTGAACTCATTTTTTTAAGTCTGAAAAATTAAAAAATACAATGTGGGGAGGGAGAGAAAGCTGTACTGAGAAAGTGTGTGCGCGCAACCATCTAGTCCTCAAAGGACATCATTCTATTCTTACATATCTCGTTTTTTATTCCTTTGGGCCACATTTTGCATTCAGATACATGCACATCTCTCACAGACTTAAATGGAATTGTGTTTGTATTATCAAGGGGAGAATCTATTCTTATGTAAGTAGTCCTCCCCTTAATTTATTATGCTCAGAGTGCTCAGTCTTGTAGTGCTTATAAAGCTAAAACACTCACCAAGTTAGAATTTGGCCTGTGTGAAATCTGGAATATCAGGACCAGGATATTGGCCCATGTGGTGAAATAGCAAGAATTCTCATGTGCATCATTGATAATTCCCCCTTGATTGATAGATTCCTATGTGCCATAATTTTGGGGCCAGTACAATTTATTTCAGAAAGCACATGAGTGCTCTAATTTCTTACTAAACCTGAAGAAAAGCTGCATGCAGGCAGATAGTTCCAAATCCATCCCTGGTATAAGGCTCTAAAGTCAGTGGAGCTGTCCCAGCAATGTCCAGAAGAAGCCTACCCCATGCTACAAGGAGATAACAGGGAAAATTCCCCCCTCGTTCTCTTTTTTAATAGTGTGTGTGTGTAGTTGTTGTCCAAGCCCAGAACACTGGTAAGAAATGAACGGACTGAGCAATACTGGTTGAAAGGGCTCAATCACTTCCTCACTTCAGCTTTGTACGATTTTTCTGTAACGATGCCACTACTCAAGGCAGTTTTACTAGTCTACCAAAGAAGAGAACTTTTAAAAATTGTCTGTACCAGGCTGCTTCTAAGTATGAAATATCTTAGGATATCAAAACCTTCCAAACCACTGGCATGCTCATGGAGCTGAACAAAATTGGACTGATATTTATTGAGGTGGAGTGAGGTCCAGGGGGGATGACAGAGGGGAAGGAAGGTTAGCACTAGCTGTCAAAATGAAAATTCAGGTATATTTTCAGTCAGGAGAATCTTGACTCTCACAAGTAAACTGTAGGAGGTAAGAAGGATGTACCAGCATTGAAATATTCCCCTGCTCACGGGTGTCAACAAATTATATGCTTGTCCTGCTATATGTTATGTGCAAATTACCCTGCAAGCTATTAAAGGAAAATGTGGGCTGGGATAATTAAGGGAAGACAATGAGTTGGATTACATTAGCAAAACCTGAAACTCTCAGATTCCGTTGTAAAGCAACTGCTGAAAAAAAGAAACTTGCACAAAATGTTTTGGGTGCCTGTTTTTCTGCTTTTTGATACATTTCCTACAGTATCTGCAAGATAAGATCTTGACAGATTCACACAAATCAATCTGTTCTGATCTCGAATGTTCTGAACCCGAAATTCAAAAGAACGCCTTTGTGCAATGTTTTTATTGCACAGCTGAGGAGACTTTTCCCTTGCCCTTTAGTATGCATTCGTTTTTTCTTTTTCTTTTTATTTTTTTTTCAATAACGTAAAGGAGAGAAGACGATTTTCAACTTTAAATTAAGACAACATCACCAAGATGAGAATTCTGTTTTAAACTGACCCTGGGTAGAAAAAGATAGATGTCTCCGCCTCTCTCTCCAGCCTCATTGCAATATGTGGTGTGCTGAAGAGACATCCTGGGAGTCCTTGTTAAGACTTTTTCCATCAAGTAGAAGGTAGGCTTGGGGTGATTTCCCTGCTTATAATGGAGTTGGTCTTTTTTTCCCATGCATACTACTAAATTATCCCCAGTAGAAACAATGTATCCCTGTGGCTTATAAAGAAGAAAAAAAAGGACTAGAAGATAGTCCAATGGGTAGAAAGCTGATGAAGT